GCACGGCTATGCATCCTTCCTAACCTAACCTATCGCGCTATTCTTGTTTTTTCATTTCCCCCTTTTTTCCTTTTTTTTACACTCCTTAAAATCGCCTTACAAGTTGAAACTCCACTCTCCTACGGTGCGGTGCAGGTACGTACACTTGCCCCGCCTGTCCTCTGCAGACTTTTCTCGGATTACCTGTCACTGCTACCAGGCCCCGGTGGGAAAACTCGTCGAACTGGGACGACGGAAGCGGAGATGGTGGTTACGGGTCGACTGGATATGGGGAAATTCGGGGCGGTGCCCGTCGCCCGCCGACGTGTCCCTGGGTGTGGCCGGCAGTCACGAATGGCAGCGCTCGCCGCCTGGCCGGGCCCCGTTGCCGCCGCTTATCGATCCCCCTACCACCGCCGCAGGTTTTCCTCCTGCACCGCCGACCGATGTTTACGCACAAAGACTCAAGCGCACCCTATCTTTTGATCGCCGCCCCCCAACGACCCGCGGCTTTCTCGTAGGGGTGGCTGCGGCGCTTCGTCAGTGTTCACGAATCCATTGTACGCGACGTTTGTCGTTGTCGTTAATGTCGTCATCGTCGTTATTATTATTACTAATTGTCATTCCGCCGAAAAAAGTTTAGGTTTTCAATAGCTTTTACACTTAAGTTTAATTTGGTTCATTCTAAGAAGATAATTATAGTATTATTTCCACTGCCCGTCGCCGTGACTATTACATAAGAACCGCCTATTCTGCCAACTTCACGCGATGTTCCGATGACTCGTAGTATGTTTGTCTTAACGGCCAAAAATGATAGATTCGTCTTTGCACGTGAGCAATGAGGAATCGGACACTGCTGATTGGCTCCCCAACTCGTTTTTGAGATTCTTTCAACAGGATTTGAACAATATACCGGTGAAACTCTTAGGTATGTAATTTAATATAGATAAATATAGACATATGGTATAGATACCTACTAGGTATAAGCCCACCTAAATATTTTATAATTACATTAAGGTTAGGTTAGGTTAGGTTAGGCATAGGTTAGGCTCGATATGTAGATAAAAGTTTAGATGGTCTTTCACCAATATTGTCTTTTGCTTTTCTTTTTAATTCATTGTTCAATATTTTTCAATTTAATAATTTAATGTCACTGTCTTTGTAGTTGAATAAGGTAATACACGAATAGTAAATATCATAACAATAGTTAGGACTTGATGCAGTTCAGATAAACTAATATTAGAATCACCACTCAAAAACTCTAGACATCAAAATTGTTTTTTTTTTTTAGTTGGATTCAATTCGAATTCACCGCTCCTGAAAAATATATTCAAAGTACATTATTCGTTATCCATTTTTAGAGAAGTTCTTAACATTTTCAGATCATTTTATTATGCTTCAGTTCATATATTAAAACATTTTTCGAGCTTTTAGTGTTCATTAGGAAGTTCAAACAATTTTATCAAGAGATATTGTTTTCGTTAGGTATTTTTCATGCTTCCCAATTAATGTAAATAGTTCTGCACACATGAATGCGATAACAGGAACTCAAAGAAATAACAACTAAAAGGTCAGCTGGAGATACATATGATCGCATTTATTTTCAATATACATACTTTTGATTTGTTGAGCGTGCCTAAGTTTAGTACTTAATTTTTAAATTATTGTTAGCTTAGTTAAGATAAAGAAGTGTTAAAAAATATTAAAAGTTAAACCGTCATTTTTCTATCGATTGCATAGTTGTGTGCCTATGAATAAAATTTGATCATTTTTTAAAGGAATTATTATGTTGGAAAGGCATTTGAATCCGAGCCCCAATCATTTTACATACTAACTTTAATTCATTTCATTAGTTAATGACTTTCTTTTCTTGCATAATACGAGTATATAATTATTATGCGTGACAGTGTGGGCGTTAAATAGATTTTAAACTTAAGTGCAGATAAAATATTATAATATTGATATTTTATAACTTGGTAGATATATTACTTGCATTCATGTCGATAGTTTTTGTAATCCATAACTAGGTACGAAATGCAATATGTCGATTGAAGTGTAATCAGCCCTGCAAGAGTATTTTTATATGTTTGTTTTTTTTTTGTAAAATTCGAAGATACAATATACATCGTATTTGAAGATCTTTTTCATAAAATATTTTTAATGAGCTTGAACCAAATAACAAAAATTACAAATGCAATATGGATAATTAAATTAAGTCGGAATAGGATTCGCAGGTACGATAATTCGTATAAATATTAGATATCTAATATTAGAATATTACCTTCTTTGGCTGTTCAGCTGTTCACTAAACAAAAATACGCTGAAGTAAAAATAAATCCTTCAAAAAATATATATTTAAGATGAGAGTATCCTAAAAGAAAATATCTTTAAAAGAAAATTATATTTTTGTTGGTTTGGGCGATATTTGTTGTGGAGACCCAACATTATAGCACCGTCTGTCATCTGTGTGTAAAAAGGGTTGATTATTATTGACATTTAACGTTGCCCTCTAGTGCTTATATGGGCAATGAGTATATCTGATTACGTACATCAGTATTAATGAAAATAAATGTCATTCTTATTGAAAGTTAAAAGTATCGTACCAACCATCTGAATACAGATACACCGTGTTTTTCAGCATTCTTATAATTTTGAATTGTGATGTTTATAAAGAAAACTATGCAACATGTGACAAGTTAAGTATATTATGTTACTATAAGTATATGTATACCTACCTAGTATTATTAGGGCATAATTATATTATGATGTTCATAAATTCATAATCAGCTATAAACTCGATAAAATATTAATTCTAGAATCGTATAACACTTTTTCTTACTTACTGTTTGAAAAGTTCATGGTGTCACAATCAAACTGGTATAATCATTGTTTTTACTAATTGATAAACCATTCGAACCCAACAATCTGGATAAAATGAGTCTTTTTTTATCATTTTAAAATTGATCAACAAATTTAACTGAAAAATAACTTGAAATTCTTGTATCAAAGAAAAACAATTTACTGTAAAGCTTTTTAATAGAGCCTTGTCAATTATTTTAAGAGTGTTTTTAATAATTTTTATTTTGCTAACTAATACCGTTATACTTAATTATACTATAAATAAATTTATTTTTTTAAGCCTTTACGAACCATTTAGACTTTTGGCCCCCAAAACTATTTCCTTAGAGCTAATGTTATATTAATTATGTATGCATTGAATTGTGTTTAATGGTTTACTGCCAATCCATGAACTGTAGCTCTTTTATCGGTAAGCAGACGAGTGCAAACCTAACCTGCAGATCTGAATAGGACACCTGCCTCTTTGTGTGATACTATTTTTATGTAGCTAGAATGTTTCAAATAGTATTAAAAAATTGATTTTCAATTTAAAAATGTTTCAAAGTGCAATGTCCTTTAATAGTACAGTTCTACCGATCCCTTCACTTAATTATTAGCTTGCGATATATCCAAATTGTGTATGCAATAGCTACCTATTTAGTATTTACTAACAGGAGTTACTTATTGGTGGAAGAAACAACATTTTTTTTCTGTTTCTTTTACTATTCATTCTAATTTGGAAATAATGTTTATACACAAATATTTAAATTACGTCACATGCCTTGTTTCAAAAAATGTGCTAGGTGTGCTTGGCACTTTTTTTTTATCCCCAGCCTCATTTGTATTAATATTCTCACCGAAAAAAAGTATTATATAACACTCTATATATTAAAACTATAAAGGTATAGCGAAAACATTTTTTTCAGATCATAGACGGGGTGATGAATGTATTGGTTATCATTGTACAATATGTTGTAGGTAGTAGGTGTATACATATGTTATATATATATATATTTGTTAGATGACATTGGATATTCAAAAATACAATAACGATTTCTCCTAAATTGATTTTTGATATTTTGTTATAATACAATAAATATTAATCATATACAATTTAAGATACCACTTTTACTTCAAATATAATTTTCAATACACAATGAAATGTTCAATTTTTCATGAATAATTTAAGCTTTTATTTCCTTAATAAAAAATGTAATTGGTGAAATAGCTTGAACATATTATAAAAGGTTCCTCATAAGTTGGATTTATAGAAATATTTAGAAATACATAGTAACGGTTTTAGTTAATTGTTTATAGGTGATTCAAAAGTAATTATTCTAAGAAATACATGAAAATGTTGGTAACTACGTTCCAACATTACTATATAATGGAACAAGTCAATACATTATCGCCCCATATAATTAAAACCTATTTCATTAAAACAGTAGTTAAGTGTGACTTAAAATACTAAAACTACCAAATGATAATAATTTAATAAAAATAAAATAATGTTACTGAATATTGATAGTAATTTATAAAATAACATTGAGAATTTGTTGAGAATGTCAAAGCAAATCAACATTTCCTAAGGCTTTCTTTTCAGAAGACATTATAATAAATGATGAGCTAAACCAGTATTCTATGATCAAATTTAAAAACTACAGTTGAGTACAATAAAGATGTAAAATCTGCTATCCCTTAATTATAGATTATCTGATCTTTTGAATGAAAATCCCGAGCCACGTCGTACAAACACTACAAACCTCTGCTATCCTACAGAGATGTAGACCAGTAGGCTAGTCCGCTCCTGGATATTAATTTGACTTATAAGTTGATAAAAACCTAAATAATTTAATAAATTGATTTAGCGATTATTATAAAATAAATGCGATGTTTTTGAAAAAAATATTCAACTTATTGTATAGTAATAGAAAAATAAATTATTAATAATAGGTAAGTAATAATGCAAATAAAATATAAATACTATAAGATCCCACATTTTAGTCAGTAAAAACATTATTTATTCATACGTTAATTGTATATTGTAATTCGTCTTGATATCAATGATTTTTAAGTAAACAATAATATTAATTATAATGTACAACTTTGCATTCATTTACAAACGTATTACTTGTGGAATGTGTGTAAACGTTAGTAATATATTTAAATTAATTATTTTACAGCTAGTATACCAAAGTGTGGTGGCTGTCAAGAATTAATACTAGACAGATTTATATTAAAAGTATTGGAACGCACTTGGCACGCTCGCTGCTTAAAGTGTAACGAGTGTGGAGCTACACTAGCCGACAAGTGTTTTGCCAGAAACGGAATGCTGTTTTGTAAAGACGACTTCTTTAAGTGAGTACAGTTTATGTAAGCGATACAATCAGTAGACATAAATAACTTAAGTATCTAATTATAAAAAAAGAGATGTTTACCCGAAAATGAAATTAATAATTATTTTACAGTCGACCTTTTTTTTTACATTACAACACATATATACATTATCTTCAATATTTTATAATATTTATAATATTTTATTCGCACATACTGATGACATTTTTCTTTGATCTTTCAGTTCGATAAGATTGTTTCACTTTAAATTGAAGAATATTAAATCTTAATACAAATCTTTTGACAAATATATAAATGATTTAAATGTTAACAGATTGGATATTTTTTCATTGAAAAATAACTTGCTTATAAACACAAGAAACTTAGAAGTGTATAATATAACATATTATAATAATTTCACACAACATTGATTCATAACAATGTATTTTATGTTAGCTGCAACAAAACTACGACTGAAACCTAATATATATATTATTTAGTGTCATTTTATATATAACATTATATGCAATATTTGTAATGTATTTTGAAAGATAGGTTATAAAATTACATTTATTTTTGAAATGTTTTATCGGGAATTTAAACTTATATGGCATCACATCAAAACCACGAAAGTCAAAATAGCTAAAAGACAATTAGCGAATGTTCAAAACAGCTAAAGTATATTTTTTTTAAATTAATATTATAATACGTGTTTAGTCATACATCAAATTAAATTTAAAAATTAAACAATTTAATATACAAAATTAAAAAACTATATATAAATTAATTTTTACCACGACATTTTTCAACCTCCGCTCATCTCCAGTATGAAACTTCGCCATTTTCACCATTCTTCAGTTACAAAAACCCATTATATTTTACAAATAGTTTATTTTTTGTGAAATTAAATGTACGATATTTATAAACGACCTAACTGTGAAACTATATAACACACGAATGCAACACTTTATACTTATATGTTGAGAGAGTGAGAGACTAAACGATCCACGGCTTAACTAGGCTGTCGCTGTAGAATATTGTGCTCGTATCTAATCTATTATTATACCTCGTCCGTCCAGAATATTGGATAACCCACCTAAAAAACTGATTGAGATTATCTGTTTCTTCATAACTTATAAGTTATACTATTACGACAGATGAATAATAACAATAATAATTTTCAAATAATATACCATAGCTGTTTTGAACATTCGCTATTTTTGGTTTCGCGGTTATGCCTTTATTTTTTTGTTTTCTCAGCAGTTTCTATAAAAGTAAAAATATGTAAAAATAAGTCTATGGCGAAAATTTTTAGCAATGATTTGTGAAAAAGATTGGCGTTTCAATAGATTTGTTTTAAATTAATGATAGATGGAAATAAATGTAATATTTTGAATCATTTTCAGTAATTTTTTTTTTAATTCTGTGAGTTTAAAGCAGTGGTCAAACAATTTAAATTTTTTTACAAAAATTGTTCAGCTCAATTCAGTTGCTTTCCATTTTTCTGTTTAAAATGAAAGGATTGACTGATGCTAACAATAATAGCTTATAATCTAATACTTATAAAGCTTTCTATGATTTTAAGAAGAAAAATAATTATCAGTTACTTACCTAATATTAACAAAAACGTGTATTACTAATTAGGTACATTTTTAAAAATAAAATTTGGTTAGAGACTAATTTTTGGTGTTTGCCAGAAGGTACGGGACAAAATGCGCCGGTTGCGATTTGGGAATCCCGCCCACACAGATAGTTCGGAGGGCACAAGATCTCGTCTACCACCTACAATGTTTTGCATGTGTTATGTGTGGGCGTACATTGAATACTGGGGATGAATTTTATTTGATGGAAGATCGGAAATTAGTATGCAAACCTGATTACGAAGCAGCGAAAACTAAAGGTCTGTTTCAAACTTCAATATGATTCCTAGCATTTTTATGGTATTCCAAATTATGCTAAAAATGTGAGGTTTTTTATCACCGTTGATACGCATTTAATAGTAAAGGATATTTTTAGAAGGTGGATGCCTAGACGGAGATCAACCAAATAAACGTCCAAGAACGACTATTACAGCTAAACAGTTGGAGACATTAAAAATGGCATACAATAACAGTCCAAAACCAGCTAGACATGTCAGAGAGCAACTAAGTCAAGACACTGGATTAGACATGAGGGTAGTCCAAGTTTGGTTTCAAAACAGGTGAATTATATTTTTTCAGTTTGTTATATTAATACAAATGTATGCTAAACAAAAGATTAATTTTATTTAGCACACATTATTTTTTCTTAAACATTTTAAAACTTCGTATTATGTATACTTTTCTATTAAATATATTACCAAGATTCCAATATCTTATTGTATTTCACATTTATACTCCTATCAATTAAAAATATTTAATTCATTGCAAGTTATTAACTCTAAATTATTTTCAATTAAAAATGTCCTTTATTTGAATGTATCAATCGTATCGTTTGATTACCAAATAATTTTCTTTAATTTTAAATATTTAATAAATTTACACCGAATCTACTCCGAAGTCCACCCTCTCCAACACTCGTTTATTACAATCATTATGTTATTATGAGTTTAATTAATTGAACAAATGGTAATATGTGACAAGCATATCTTTAAATAATGAACTAATTAACATTTATACACTTAAACAGTGTACAGTGTAATTTAAACTTACATAAACTGAAAATTTTGTAAAAATACCAAGTACCTTTTAATAATGTAAAAACATTTAATGTATGCTATAATCCGTAAAACAAACATTTAAAATAAGTACGGATAATAGACATATCGAATGGGAAAGTAATATTTATTTAATATTGGAGATGGTAGGTACTTGCCTTCCGACTTAGTTAAAAGTTATTTAACTAAATATGTATCACTGTTTTCAAAATAATGTTACGATATAATGTTGTGGGTATTATTATACAATCATCTTTTTTTATAAGTAGGTCTGTTGATGGATATTTACAAGTTCAAAGAATTTCCGGAGTACTTATGTTTTTTTTTTGACAAGGCGCTGTAATAGCTTAATATTTATTGTAATAGTGATAAAAACTGTAATGTTTAAAATAAAATCATGAGTTTATTAGAAAAACAAATACATGTTGGAACACAGTTTTATGATTATTTTTTTAAATTCATATATTGACAAATTATTATTCCTACATTTTAGACGTGCAAAAGAAAAAAGACTTAAAAAAGACGCTGGAAGATCACGCTGGAGTCAATATTTCAGAACAATGAAAGGTTCAATCTCGCCTCGAAACGACAAAGACGACCTTAAGGTTGATCTTGATTCGAACTTCAGTCATTCACACGGTAAATTTATACAAAATAATTCTCAAGTGGTATTTAATTTTCAACTGTTCAATCTACTTTGTTTAGACTTAGAAAGCAATGACAGTTATGGTACCAGCACGTTAACCATTGACCAAGAACATAGCTCTCCATTACCTGGGAGTCTTCACCATAAGTTTTTGCCCGGAAACTCTTCACCATCTTCACATCAATACATGTCATCACCCACACAACACGTTACCACGTTTGCAGCAGATAATGGTTACATTACAGTAGGCAAGTTATAAAATACATTTGTTTTCAATGTAAGGTACTAGAAAATGTACATGGGTACCTACATATTTATTAATTTCATTATACACGGTTGAAAGGCACAGACTTTACGTATTGCATGTAAGAAATGGTTTTTAATGAAAAATTATTCATAATTGAATAGTTAGGTAGGTAATTAATAGTTAATTTAAAAGCACTACAGTGGAAGGTACATTTATTAGTTTTGAGATTTTTTTTATGAGATACGTTATAATTGTGTATGTCATTGGTCATTAAATACCTACTGGATTACAAGAATAACCATGACAAAATATTTTATAAATTTTAAAATAAAACGCATTCATACATATGCATTTATCAACATGACTTAATGATAATTGTTTGTAACGCATGTAACAACATTTCGAAAACAATTTTCAGAGTTATAAAAAATTAATGGGCATTTTTTTGATAAGCAATACATGAAGTATAACGTATTACTGTTTTGATTGGATCAAAATATCAAACTAAAAATCAATTAGAAAAAAATAATATCCAATTATATTCTAATTTTACGAGTACATTTATTTCCTGTGGGTATAGTGGTATAATAGTTTAATATATTTTTTAAATTTTAACTGGTTACAATTCAGTTTCCATTGTTTTGCACAACATATTATCAGTTATCACACTCTACTTTATTTAATTACAATTCATAACTGTCCTTGAAATACACGTAATAGTTGGGAGAGACTGGCTTAATATGACATGCCACTTTTTAATTCTAAAAAATTGAAGAAAATAATTTTAGATGACATATGAGCTTGATCAGCATATTTGTATTTATATTATACACATAATTCTAAAGTCTAATTGTACATTTTATACAATCAAATAATTTTAATTCACTTTTTTAAAAATGTACCTACTATGTCATTTGTATAAGCAACCATTGTATACTTGGCAACAGAAATAAATTATACATTTTTTAGAATGTAATAGTTTAATCAATTTCTTTATTTTAAATAACAACACTTTTTTTTTTTTAATGAGATTTTATTGTTAAATTATGATATCTACAATTACAATTTATATAAGTACATGATATTGTAAAGCTCACACTATTACATTTGTAGGCCTTATTGTCTTATAAAATTTAGTGTGTGTATAATTAGTTTAATAATAACAACACTTTAACATAATTATTATAATAATATAAATAGGCAAAAAAGGTCTTGAATAGTTGAATAATTTAAACACTGCTATGTCATTTTGCTTGATATCATTTAAGTTTTTTTCAAAGTTTAAATGGCAAAAGTATAATAATAAGCTTATTTATAAAATAGTTGTAGTATAGCTTACCTTTTTGTGTTCAACTAAGATAAAAAAAATTGAGGGTACACAAAATTTTATATTTTTAAATTCATTTTTAAAAATGATTTTAAAAAAAGTTGATAACACACAAAACCCTTTTTTGTTATCAAATTCTCTGATAAGGTCAAAACATGTGATCACAGTGTACAATCGTATATAGGAGGTTAGATCACGTATTTAAAGCGTTTTTGTTTCTTAAATATAAATAATTCTAATCAAAACATCAATGTGTCATATTAAGTCGTATTAAGTCTCCCCTACTAATTATTAAATATGATATTGTTAGCATATTATAAATATTTATTATCATCAACTATACTGATTCGGCGACCTCCGAGTTCCAATTGCATTTTGCTAAGACTAACAAGTAAAGCAACTTTTCGATCTCAACCTCAAAATCAAAATTGCACAACATTAAATATAAAGTAATTTATTGCAAATAAAAAGATTCTAATAATTTAACTATTAATTTCATACGCTTATATGAAAATCATATTTAAAATGTCAAAATATTGTTGATTTGCCTACGTTAAATGACTACCGGCAATTGTAACTAACATAATTTTTTCCTAATACTTACCTGCTTTATTATTTTGTCGTCTTGATTAAAATCACATACTAAATGAATATAATTTTTAAATAATATTTTACAAGGCACCTAAATTTTAAAAATATTTAACACAAATATAAATAATAAGGAAACGATTTTAAAATAAATAATATGGAAAATACCTATCTATATGTTTCATATTTTATTAGGATCGTTGTTTAGTAAATAGTTACTCTTTATCACAATTGTAGAGAATAATTCTTTATAATCGTGCTCTTTATAAAGTTATCACCTAGGTAAGTACTTATTGCCTGTCTCTGTGGTGTGTAATCAATAATAATAAGTACCAAATGTTTAATGCCGATGCTCGTCATAGGCCAGAGTCATTCTGATATTACTAGTACTCTAAAGACTTATATCATTTATAAATACATTACTCATTATATCTCTATTATACTGTATTCCACATAACGGTGTAACCACGTGGTTTCATGTTATTCGCCGATTTAAATAATTTTCTACAGGTAAAACGATTTTACTAGTCATTTATAACCACCTAACCCACGATGGTAAAGTAGAATTTTTTAACTATTTGGTTTATTGTAGTGACGGGTTAACCACGTGGTTTACACGGAATACGGAAAGTAGTAGGTAACTTTATTAGATTAAATATATTAGCACAATTTATTGAAATAATGAAATATGTCCGTATTTTTATAGTTATTAAAGATAAATGGCTCTAAATTTAAATATTATATTATTTTCATTAGGTCCTGCGCATTCTGCGCCATCAGAACTAAGCGACAACAGTAGCACACATGGTTTTGCAGATTTCCCACCAAGTCCAGATTCATGGCTGGGAGAAACACCACACAGATATTAAAAATATATTATCATTAACTAAAATAATGTATTACGAAGTACAAATCAAAAATGCTCTTTTAACCTACCAAGGGCTATAACAAACATACTGACTGGGTGAGAGCATTGTAATTTTTATATTTGTTATTAATTATTTGTGATGTTCTATTCATTTACCTATTACATAATAGTTTCTTTTATTGATGTGTTTAAACTTTGATACCAATATTTTTAATTATTTTGTTTCAGGAGAACCAAGTTTTTAAAATGTTTAATGATTATTTTATTTCCTGTGTTTGTGTGACATGTGTATCATTAGTTCGCGCAACAGTTTTTATGGTATTTCATTAGGTTTTCGCCAAGTGTTTAGATGTAGATATTTTTTTTCTTTTTGATCTCGAATTTATATTCAATTAAATGTTATCTTCAAATAAATCAAAATAATTTTTACAGGCTATGTAATTTTGTTGTTTCAACTTAATATACGTTGTCATAAATAAAATTATACATGTGTACATATTTTATTAAGGCTACATTGTATCATTGTATATTAAGTATTACCCTTTGGAAGACTAAGTTATGTAATTAATATTATTATATCTTAAAATATTCATCGTGTATGAAATTTAATGTAAAATAAGCTTTAATAAATGTATCGTTAATAAAGAACTGTTTGAAATTGCCTTAATATTTATATTGAACATACATTTAAATACATGATAATGACGTAGTTAGTATTACCACCGATTTATATAAAACCAGATGGTGCATTTCTGAATTTACTGGTAACTCGAACCTACCTCAATGTAGTAGGATATTTGAGAAATAAATTATTGTACAACCTATTTACTATAATTATTGTACCGAATAATATGACAATGGTAAAGCATATGACGTGAGGGATAATATGCCATTAATGTGTAGTTAATAATCAATCAATTTCTCAAAAATACTGATTTTTTTTATTTGCGGTCACACTGATTCGAGATAGGTTTTAGTTTTTTTTAAGTTCTTGTGAACTACATATTCCGAACAGGGAGTGCATCATATGGTTTTATTTAATCTGTAGTATTACCTAAAGTGGTAAAAGTGACATAAAATAAATGGAGGGATGCGTTTCTTCTATATAGTGCCCATTTATGACTTAGAGCGTCGTACAAATTTGGGGTTTGAGGTTGATTTTAACTCCTAATACAATTTTTTGTAGCATAATTTTAGATATAGAACCTAGAGAAGCTTAACTTTTTTAAATACACATTCGTGTTATTCGTGAATCGTTTTGTAAAATATAACCAGTTGAAAAATAATCCATTTTGCGATGTTTTGCACTAAAGATGGTATTCATACTTGGAACGACAAATATATGTAAATGCATATTTTCCAACAAGAAGCATATAAAATCTTAGGTAAAAAATGGTGGTAGTAGGTTGCTCCACATACTTTCTTGGTGTTGTGTTCTTTGATCTCCATTTGTATCTTGGGGTGTTGTAATCTGGTGTTCTTCTGCTTCAAGTCTTTTCATAGCATTCATAATTGATCTTCCAGGTAGTGATATCAATAGTTCTCTCAAATACCCAGGATAATGTCCGATAATATTGCTGATGAATTTATTCTTACGATAACTTTGGTATCTCTAACTGTCGTGGTTTAATTGCCCAGTGTGCAAAATGCTCTCGATAGTTGGTCTTGTTGTATTTGATAGATACCTAGCCCTTCAGTCCCCTTGTCCATTGCAATGGACATGTATTTGAACTATGTAATTATCATAAATGCTATGTAATATATAACGATGTGAAACTTGATTAATATTTCTTAGAATATTCTTAAGTTTATATAAAATTACTTTTTATAATGATAACATGTATTAAAATACAATTTTAAAATGATTTATTTAAAAAAATATTCGGGTATACATGTTCATTGATAATACACCGATATAATCAATTTCGGACTTTTTTTTAAATTTATTTTTGAGATCTGGTAACACTGGAAAAATTTTTAAACAATTAATATGTGTATTGACAACGATTTATAATTATTTGATAAGAAGTAATATGCGCGGTAATAAGAAAAAACAGCTGAGTATTCAATGTCCATTGAAATGGACATTATGACCAAAGTGTTGTGTTATTATCACGGACGTACATCGTTCAGGTTTGTTATCAAATTACCAGTTATTTTTAGATTTATTTATATTTTTCATAACACAAGAAAACAGAAATTAAATTCTACACAAGACTTGGTCTTGAATTCTGAATTATAATTTTTTTGGAAAAGAAATGAGTAAAAAACTAAAAGATTATGATATTGTTGAAATGCTAAATGGTTACGATTCAGAATTGGATGCTTTAGATAGTGATGACGAAAATGGAAATGAACTCGATGCTCAAGTTGAAAATGGTGATCTAATAGTAATAAGTGAAAAATTAAAAAATTTTAATAATTAATTTGTAATTAGATATTTTTCCAATTGAAGAACTTGAGAATTTAATGGAAGATTTTAATGTGGAACATTCAGAAGAAATAGAGTTGGATCAGTTTGAAGAAAATGTCAACAACATTGAACAAGTAAATGAAAATGATACAAGTACATCACACAGTTCAATTAATAATTTTAACTTAACAGAAAAAAAAGATATAAAATGGCAAAGGAGTCCTTTCCCTAATTTAAATTTAAACATGCAACCAATTGATGATGTACAACCTAAAGTTTTAGGTTCTGATATGATTGACCCTCCAATAACATATTTTTCAAAATATTATAGTGATGTAGATTTTCAATTAATGGTTCAATATACTAACATGTATGCATTACAAAAAGGGAAACCTTGGAAAAATACTGACATAAGAGAAATAAGAATATTTATAGGTCTCCATATCATAATGGGTTGTACAAAATTTCCTAGAATCAGGATGTATTGGAATTTGGTTTTGAAAATGAATGTATTTGTTGAAAACATGAATAGAAACAGATTCTTTGCTCTTAGAACAAATTTTCATGTCATAGATAATTTAAAAATTAGTAAAAACAATAATGATAAATTTGTAAAAGTTAGACCAATGTTTGATTGTTTAAAAAGAAGATGTGGACAATTAAATATAGAAAAAAATGTAAGTATTGATGAGCAAATGATTCCTTTTAAAGGACATTTGAACATAAAACAATACATGAAAGGGAAACCTTGCCCGTGGGGAATCAAAAATTTTGTCATGTGTGGTGCTAGTGGTCTTATGTATAATTTTATTTTATATCAAGGTAAAACTACAGAATTTGATCAAAATTTTTTAAAACTATTTGGATTGGGAGGTACAGTTGTATTAACTCTTGCTCAAACATTGAAGATCGACAAGCATTTCCTTTTTTTTGATAATTACTTTTCTGGTTATAATCTCATGGAAGCATTAAATCAAAACAAAATGTATGCAATAGGCACAATAAGAGAAAATAGATTTGCAAAACCTCCACTTTTAAATGACAAAATAATGGCTAGTAAAGGGCAAGGTACGACAGATGAAATTACAAATGTAGAGAATACAATTGCACTTGTGAAATGGTATGACAATAAAAGTGTAAATATGTGCTCAAATTTCATTGCATCAGGTATTCCAGATACTGTTCAGCGTTGGAATAAAAAAGAGAAAAAATATGTTCAAGTGGAAAGACCTGAAGTAATTAAATTATATAATCAAAGCATGGGAGGCGTAGATAAATATGATCAACTAATCAGTTATTATAGAATATTTTTGAAATCCAAAAAATGGACTTTGAGAATGGTCTTTCATGCAGTAGATATGGCTATTACTAACTCATGGTTGGAGTAATTATCAAGACTGTAATAAATTAAAAATTCTTGATAAAGATAAAATGGATTTGTTAGAATTTCGACTAAGATTAGCGGATAACTTATTAAATGTAGGAAAAGTCAATACTCCAAAAAGGCAAAGAAGCCGCCCTCGTGAAGATCTTTCTTTTGAAAATTCACCATCACCTTCACCAAAAAGAGCCAAAAATAACTCTAGAGAAGTTAGACCTTTTCATGAAACAAAAACTGACCATATAGGTCATTATCCAGCATCTGATGACAAACATGAAGCTACTAGGTTTAAAAATAAAAATTGTAAAGGCAAAACACATGTGTATTGCTTAAAATGTAAGGTACATGTACATCTATGTTTTGTAGCAAAAAAAAAAATTGTTTCACTGATTTTCACAATAATAAATAAATGCAATTGTTATAAAGTATATATATATTATTTTTATTTGATAAATTTCAATGTATTATATTATATTTATTCATTTGTTCATTGTTCAGATACTTATGATTTTAAAAATTTGTTTTTGTTTTTATAAATACAATATTACAATATGAGAAATAATTATGTTTTAAATATATTTTTAGTTTTTTGTTTTTTTTTTGTTGTGTAAAATTGTATTTAGTACTACTTTTTCAATATTATTCAGTTATATTTTATTTTAAAAAAAATGTTTTGGTTTTTTTTAAGGGATATTATAAAAAAATTACTTCAACTATTATTAATTTATAAATGCTGTTGTTATATTTTTTGTTATAATGAAAAAAATGTTTCCAATATTTTGTACTTGATGTGTATTTGAATTGATCAATTACAATTTTATTCTCATGTAATATTTTTTCACCGAGTCATAATGTCCATTGTAATGGACAACCCTCCCATTTTGGTCAAAATGGGTAAAAGTGCCCCCAACTTTTTTTATTAGATTTACAATGTCCTGCAAATGAGGTTTCTTGATTTGAATATTTTTTATTTTTACTTTTTCATAATTTGGGACTGACAGGGCTAGACACTGACCCTATACCTGCATCTCGATCTCCTTGACCAGTACTTCTCGATGGACATTTCCTTGAATTCTGGATATCTGATTTGGTATCTAATGGTTGAAAACCAATTATATGTTAGGATTTTAGTCAGCCCTTGCTATTACAACCCGTTCTTCTTCATTTATCTGTTTGATAGAGAAATATTTTTCCGGTCTGTTTAATAAATTCTTTGGATGTTGGTCTCTATTATTGTAGTAAAACATTAGTTTTGTAATTTCTGTTACTGTATTTCTGTGTATTCCTGCTTGGTGATTTTCGTTGTTTTGTTAATTTAGGTCACCCAAATTTCGGAATGTATTTATGTACCATTCTTCCATTTGCTGAATGCCTGTTTTATATTTTACTTCTAGTCTTCTACTTCTAGTCCCTCAATGACCCCGCTCAAGGCATATGTTGAATTTCTGAACTATTAGAATTGGAGAACTTTTTTTCCTTTTATTTATAAGTGGTTGAGCTATAGTCAGCACCCCTGAGTATGGTGAGGTCATATATGTAATAATAGTCCATCATAAAGGATATTCCACAATGTTGGGCCGAGTATGGATCCTTGATGTACTCCACTCGTTAGCGACGTGTCTATGTCAAGTCCTTCTGTTAAGGTAATCTTCTAAGATTTCGCACAGGTACGAGGGTTCTCTTTTGTTTGTGGTCGCACTGAGTATCTTGCCCCAGTTCGCCGAATTGAATGCATTTTTGACATTTATTGTCAGGATGCCTGTTATTGTTTTATTTCTGCTTTTGCTATGTTCAGTACGTGGTTGATTTCGTCCATGGTTTATCTATGTCTTCGGAACCCGTACTGGTTTGTGGAGAGTGCATCGTGGGGTTCAATTTGTTTTCGTATCCTATTGTCTAATATTTTTTCGAGTAGTCTTCCAAGTGTGTTTATCATGCACAGGGGTCGATAGGATGACGGGTAATCTAGATGTTTGTTTCCTTTCCATATGAGCACTAGTCTCGCTTTCTTCCAGGGAGTGGGACATTTTCGCTGGTTTATGCAGTTGTTAAAGACTACTATAAGTGCGCGCGGATTTTTTCTTGCAACTATTTTCAGGACCTCTGCAGGTATTCCGTCAGGCCCGGTGCTTTTTTGTTCTTCATGAGCATCGTTGCGCTTTAAGAGTTCTTTGTCCGTTACTTGGGGGGCTGCTTCTCCCGTGTCCCACGTTGTAGGTAATCGAGGTGGGTGAGTGGGAAACAGTGTTTCGATGATCTACTCCACTCTTCCTGCTTTATTTAGACCAGTTATCAGTTTTTTACCAGCTTGCACATTACTAGTCTGTAAGGTAAGCCCCGGGGAACTACCTCTACCTCCTCGCAGAGCTTCTTCCAGGACTGCGCCTTTGCATACTTGATGGCCTTGTACAGATTCCTTTTCGCTGTTTTTGCTTCTTCCTTCTCGACCTGGCATTTGTCTGGACCTGTTCTCCGTAACTTTCTTTGGTACACCCATCTTCGGTGGTTGCTTGTCTTCCTTAATTCGCCTATTTCTGGGTTCCACCAGTGTACCGATTTTCGTTTGTTACTCGTTCCCCTTTTTGGCATTACTTTATTACATATGTCTGTAAGATCGTCAGTGAGTTTGGACGCGCATGTGTCCGCATCTATTCCGTGAGTGTCTTTTGTTATAATCTTCTCCATGGTCTTTTCCAGTTTGCTAGTGTCGAGTTTTCTTAAGACCCAACCTTGCGGTTTTTGTTGTGAAACGATGCTAGGTTCGATTGCTACCAACTAGTTCTACCAACCAATAACAATACATTATGCCGAACCATAAAATATAAATTAATAATCAAATTATAAAAACAGTAAAAACACATAAAAACGTATTAGCTCATATTTTTTTAAAAGAGAGTACAATTTCATGTACTTAACACTATTGTTAAGGACATTAGGACATCAACAAAGAGTACTGTCCTGCTAAAATGAGTACGTCTGGTCACCATAAGTATACCGCCAATTTCATTCCACTTTTCTGCTTTTGTTACAATGTTTTTGTATTCAGAATGACTGGTATCATATAAGTATGAACAGTTATGGACTTAATCAATTAATTTTTTAGTCTCATCTGCCATGGTGATGGAAAAATGAGGAATGAATAATTTGTGCATTGTAAAATATTACGCAGGCAGCGCGGTCAGCCTAATTTCTGTTTGATCGTGGCTTTATGTTCAATATCTAATACTGCAGGGATCGTGTGAAACAAATATAAACAATAATAAATAATTACAATACTTGTAATGTTCTCAACTTTTGACTTCTTGAAGTTACTAAGCAACTCGTATGATAGTTGTTTTTAAAACCATTATTGGCTCCTTGCAGTTAAATATTTCTCTAGTTAACGAAATGTTTTATTAAATAATAAACTATTGTTTTTTAGCCTAAAACAAGATTAGATGTATAGTGATCCAATCAGAGATCGATCTATTACCGAACAAAAGGTAGTTTTTCAATAGCAGAAATACTTACTATTTCCGGTACAATTCTAGTAGACTATTTAAATAAAACGAATCAATAGAGAAATAAAACGACAATCTTGGAATTTTAGATTACAAGCTACGAGTTTTTTCTATATTCAAATAATGTACGAGACATCCAATATGAAGAAACCGTAAGTCATCTGATTAATATGTATTAAATGTTATTAGTAAAATGTTAAAGGTTATTAGTGTTCTATAAATACAAAACTAATGATAATTGATAATAGTAAATTATTTTCAAGTTAAATTGAATAAATTGCAGTTCATAAGAGAAAATGGGAAGGCTAGGCTTACCTACTCTATTACTATAATTTTGTTGTTAAGTCGATTTTGATTGCATTATTTAATCGTTTGTGTACTTATTACTTTTAAAACGTTATTGTTTGTCATGCTCAATATTTACTTAGGTTGTCTAGGTATAAGCTAACAAATTTATATTTTTTTAATCAACATTGATATATTATTGAATAGTGCAAACGATGAATTATTAATCTAATAACATAATTGTAAGAAACATGAATAACAAATATGTAAAAATGGCCACAAACAAACTATTTAGTAAAATCTTTTAAATTCAGGTAAATCCCGCAGCCCTTTAAAATTAATACACTACATAAACTTCATAATGATCACATTAAAATTACATATAATTATTGTTTACTACTTATCAGTAGATGTTCTAAAGATACATTTCAGATTGCATAAGAGATTATCTGGAGATTAGTCATCAATTGTAATTAAATACAATTATAGTAATTAAGTTATTCTTTGTGACTATATTTTGCCATGCTCATTGTTATTGAGTGTTATGAAAATTCTCTAAATTCTCAAAAAATGATGGATAAGTGGGTACCACTCTGCTGTTCAGTAGTTGTCGAGTATGTCATTGGGTACGGCTGTGTAATATATGAATTGAATGATAAATCATCGTATACAAAAACCGAATCTGAGTGGAGACGTTTTGTCATCATAGTATACTTGTGTAAATAATACAATTTAATAATTTTGAAAAAATAGCGTATTAATAGTGTACATTTTACCTAAACTTTTTTTTGTTATAGGCAGAAAATTTTTTATAAATTTCTAACTGAAATCAAATAAATTACGAATTTTCGAGCAGATCGTGCATAATATGTCTCTTTATTACTTTTGAAAAGCTATTAAATCAAGTTATGAGAACCCAAGTTAAACCTAACCTAACCAAATTATTCATTACATTTTCAAGTTTTTTACTGAGTGAAAAAGTTTTTATCGACAGTAATTTCAAAACAATTTCCAAATTCGATACATTTCTCAAGGCTATAAATAGGCTATACACGGTAAGTTAGCATTGAAAGAGCATTGTTAGGCTTGAGAATCACGTAGTTTGGTTCTAAAATGTAACATAACCCACATTTATTCAAATGACCTTTGTTATCAAGCATATTATATTTATTTTTAATTTTAAATATTTCAGAGTACGAACTCACCAATTTATTTTAATGGACTTCGAGTTTACAACAATTTACAGAACCAGTATTGTACTAATATCGGGTGCAATTTCAAATAGCTCTTATCATTTTAAGACCGTTAAATTGGAGGGAAAACCTCTTTTACTACCAATAAATCAGAATGTTAGACAACTGAATATCCAAGAAATAAGGAAAGCAATTTCACAGATTAATCTGTACTTAAAACTAGAGCTACAAGTTGCATTGTTGAAACAATTGCATAAAAGCCTAAGCACCAGTACAAACAATTTAAACGCTGAATTTATTAGACGTTACTTAGCATATAACAATAAAATAACGATAATCGTATTATGGAACGGTTCCACAGATATGGACATTTTAAAGAGATTAAAAATTGATAACTATAATCTACTAAACATGACATGTCTTGACATATCAAATAATCAACACTTTTACATACAATTAATCACAATGAGAAATATGAGAGTCATATACGAATACAGTTTAGGGACGTATAGTAAACAAGGACAGATGTTGAGTCTAGTAGAAACACATAAAATTATATGTTCAAAACAACACAAAGGAATGTACCCCCACGATCCTTGCTACGACCTGGAACTAACGAAATGTATTTTTAACAAAATGGTTAAACAATTTCAGTATAAAAATCTAGTACAACATTTTTAAATAAATAGTATAATTATTATTATATTTTGTTTTCATGGTAATATTGCGGACTGTCCAAACAGTGAACCCAACTGCAATATTAATACTCCCAATCCTTTAATAACACAGTTGCTGTGTTTTTAATTAATTTAACATGGCATAATACTTGCAATGTAAATGCAATTTGTTACTAATGTTTCAATGATTCTTTTATGTATATTGAACCAATGTAAAATAAATAATGTACAATAAACAAAGAAGTGGTGTTTAAACAGAAAAGCCAAGTTTATTTTATTTTGTTTATGAAACTGTATTGCCTAAATTAAATATTCTTAAAGCATCTTAAGAGCGCTTTCAGACGAGACACTTTGTGACCGGCTACGTGTGTCTGGAAAGAATCGCGCGACCTAAACCGCACTCACACAATGACAGTTTTTTCATGAAAAACATTTCAGCAGTTTGAAATATCTTTCACAACCACTCACATTACTGACATAAAAGTGTTGACAGTTTTTGTCGTAACTCAAAAACATTTCTATGTAAACAGAAATGTGTATAGAGATGTGTGAAGAATTGTGTACTGATGGAAAATTCACGATTGTTTTTACGAAATGTGTAAAATATTTCTGAAGATTGTACGAAACTTCCAACGTAAGTATTATTATTATAGTGTATTTTTTGTGAATGTAAACATATTTTTGCATTTTTATTTAAAAATGATAACGAGGCGTGAAAAAATTGCAGCTGCTATTAATTTTCCATTTTTTGAGCAAAAAACCAAAAAGCCTAAACGGATGGAGCAACGCAATTGGATTCAAAGTAGGAAATTTCATGGTGCATATTATGATGCATTATCCCAAGAGCTTAGGATGGAGGAAGACCCTTCACAGCTGAGAAATCTTATAAGGATGTCTGCTGAAGATTTCGAAGAACTAAGTTCCTGGTTTGCACCAATTGTGCAAAAAATGAATGCAAATATGAGTCAGGCCATAAGTGTTGGTTAACGATTGATGTTGACTCTTTGTTTTTTAGCTACTGGTAATAAAAAGCATCTACTTTGTAGACCATGATAAAATATATAATATAAATAATAATTTATTAATTGCTATGGCTTAGTAAAAATTATAATTGAGTGTACAAAAGCACAATTTTCATTCTGTTAATTTTTTATTCAAATAAAAGTTCCAATTGAATTTTAAAAGCATCTGTAATTGAAATTTAATATGGAAAGTATGACATTGTGACTATAGTTAATACTTTAGTTACCTCCATTATCTTGATATATGCATACCTAGCTAAATAAAAAAACAATAAAAATTGTTAACTTATTCTAATAAGTATAAAATGTCAAGATAAAAGTTTTAATAAAAGCGATGAAGAATTTTTTATGATTTCTAAGACATCTTGGAAATCAACCTCTTCCAAAACTTGTTTTTCTGCCGACATCATCATAAAGGCCTCTAATCGTTCTTGGTTCAATGAGGAACGTAACCGATTTTTTATAATTTTCCGAGTGCTAAAAGCACGTTCACAGTTAACTTGACTCACTGATAAACTTAAAACAAATTCATATGCAGCATATAAATTTGTGTAAGCAGTAGAATGCATATTTAACGAGTAGAGTAGTTTTTGAACGCAGATCAAACATTTAGAACGGTCATGATTTGATTTTGATGATTTTTTACATCACGTAGTTAAAAAAAAATTAATATTAAAATAATTAATTTAATAAGGATACAATTTTATTAATTTGGAAGTTGCACTTACCATTATTTTCCAAATGAATATTAAATTCGTTCCATTCGAATGAAACATTTTCATAATTTTCATAATTTTGAATGTTTTCACCATTTTCAACTTCACTGTATATACGTTTCGTTTTCATGTTCAAAGGTCCAACAATATCATAGTAAATAGTTGTGAAATGACGAAGCTCAGTAACTAATTTTAAGTGGTCTATTGATGCAAGTTCAGATAACTTTTGCAGTGCAATACCTGGTAAGCCTTCTTTAACATCCTCAAAATGTTTAGGGAGTAAATATTGCATATCTGTAATTAATATTTTATTATGAGAAAATCTTTCTGTGAAATCATTCTGCAATCGGTCTATTATGCATCTAAACACTTCAACATGATATTTATCTTTCACATTAAGTGGAGTTTCATCTCGACACAGTTCATCGGCCATTCGTTTTTTTGATCTAATACGAAGTTGAGGTAATTCACACTCAACAATTCATTTTCAGAGAGTTTAAGATCCTCTAAACTATTATTCATTTGTTCTGAAAAGTGTTCTGCTTCTTTAAATATATCCTCAAAATTTATTGTAGAAATATGTTTAATTGTTTTTTTTAACCATTTCCCGGGCAGACAGTAAATCCAAGTTGGATGATTGTAAATATGTTGAAGTAAGACCAACTGTGGAAAATATGTTTAAGAAAAGGTGAGCAGTTAATATGATTTGGAACTCGCATAGTTTATCTCTCAAAGATATGGCTTCTGAAGAGGTTTTTTAATCAAATCTACCACAGGTCACAACATAATCCAGAGCACTTATTACTGTAGCATATAAATTGTCATCTCCTTTAAATATCCATTTTAAAGCCTTTTCTCTAGACCACCAACGAGTATTATCAATTTTTTGGAGTTTCTTTAACTTAAGATGACCAGTGCCATGCTGTTCTTGTTTTTTCTTCCATATATCCATACGTTTATATGATTCTGAAAAAAATGTTGACAGCCGATTAAGCAGTCCAAACAAATTTATAGCAGATATATTTGAACACGAGTCACAAATACATAAATTTAATGTATGAGCATAACACAAAACATATACACTGTTTAGACCCCAACTAATTACACCTATGGTCAGAGAATAGTGCCGCTATTATACTTGGGATAATGGGCCGGACCATACCCAGTTCGGCCCTGGTCAGTTGTATAAATCATTTTTCCAGAATTTGTACTAGTATTATGAGCATTACTAGATTCACCAAGGCCAGACTTCAAAGGAACACCTTGAAAAATACATATTATTATTTAAAATAAGAATATACACCAAATATTTTGAAAGTACACTCTACCGTCTCAACCCATTTTCAACTATGTAAAATGTATAATGAGAATGAATACATTTTAATTTTTGAATGTGCAATTCAATGCATATTGTTAGGTTTAAAATTATTGTGATCATGTGATCATGATAATTAATCACATTGTGTCACTGTGACACTATTTGCAAATTTAAATTAAGTAACTAAAATTTATTTTAATCAACTATAAATTACTTACTTGTAATAATATCAATTGTCTTTAAAAAAGATTCAACTTTAAAAAAACTTGACATTTAAGTCAATTAAGTGGTTTTTTTATTATGGCATTTCTTCTGATGACAACCCCAGTTAGTACTAATTAATTTTTCACGTTTTTTACCACAAATCACACAAACACTTAGATTATCCATTTTCATAAAACTATTGAAAATTTTAAAATCATATTCTCTACAAGTATAAATTAACAATATGATAACAATACGATTACTGTGAGTTCTGTTCAGGCGCATCGGTCATTTAATTTTTAAATTAAATTTATTTTGACTCTGATCTTAAAAATAGATGTAGCTATACGGAATTTTACAAGTTGTTGTCATTGCAGCGCCTACTGAATAGGTAGTGACAGGCAATGTGGCATGATGTAGATAAACAGTCAAGGAGAATATGTATTCCTTGCTTCTTGTTTATAAGTTATAGCCTATAGGCATACCTAATATCTTAGAAGTTTACGAGTACATTTATAATAATAATATACATACTAATAATATAACATTATAACTGTAGGTAGGACATAATGTTAGGGACTACATAATTGTGTACCAACTACCAACACGGTATCTAAGACCTAGGTACCGACTCCAACCACCCACTCACCTAAAACGCCATGAGACCCTTGTCTCATACAACCTTCGTCACGTCGCCACTGATTCACGTACCAGACCGAGAGCCCTAATATTAACCAACCACAAGCTCTGCTACATCACCAAAAAACACATAATTCTCCTTCTGACCCCAACCATTCCAAGAATTAACCATACCAGCAAGAAGAACATATTCCATACTATAGGCTATTATAATGTTTTAAATTTCAGCTATTTATTCAATAGTATTTTTTTTTAATTATGATTGATTCTCGTTTAATATTTGAAGTAGGTAGGTTTATTAAACTATTTAACTAAGCTAATTAAACTTCTTAACACTATTAAAAACATTAATACTATAACATGTACCTATTGTACCTATGAAGTATAATCTATAAAGCATATAGTTATAATAAGGTATAGGGGAGACTGGGGGAATGACGGTCAGCGGGTAATACCGGTCACCCTGGTATCTAATAAACTATGGTATCTAAAATTATGCTAACCACACGAATACATTAGGAATGATAACAATTCCTTATTCTTATCACGAAGATATTATCATCAAACGTTTTCACGTTCAAATGTGACTTTAATTTTTTTGTTAGTTGCTGATGTAAAAATTTGTTTTTTTCGAACATCAAGTAAGGTAAGTTAATTTTATAATATATGTATAGTTTTTAGTTAAACTAATAAAAAAAATTGTGAGGATTATGATTTTATACTCAAAACATGTATTGGTATAGTAGTTTTATGGTTATAAATATTTTCCCATAACTTATTAAAATTTGTAATACCGGTCAAAATGAATGGGGTAATAGCAGTCAATTTTTTAGTGACTGGTATTACCCTGTTTGGCGTTTACAAAAAGTATGATTTATCTAATTTCAAATTTTAATTTTGAATTGTTTTATTTTGTTAATTTAAACAGATGCCTCGTACATACAAAAGAAAGACTACTAAAGGAAATTGGGTGCCAGAAACTCTTGTAGAAGCAGTGACTTCAATCAGGACTAATATGATGAGTATCCGAAAAGCTGCCAAAACTTATAATATTCCCTTTAGTACTTTGCAAGATAGACTAAAAACCAATAACTTTAAACCAGCTGCATTAGGACGCCCATCTATTTTCACATCACAACAAGAGTCAGAAATGGCTAAACATATAATAAATTTACCAAATTTGTTTTATGGGCTGACACCACTTCAATTAAGAACTGTTGCATTTAATGTAGTAAATTTCGTTAATATAAATTGTTAAAATATTTCATTTATTGCTTATTAGGTTAAGTTAATTATATTTGTTAGTATTTTAGGATTATTTCAATTTCAAAAGCAAATATTTCAATATGCATTGATAAGTAATATCATTTGTTGACCTTATTTGTGTTGTCGAGATACATATTTTTTAAGATATATTTATAATGTATAATGATTTACTAAAAAAGTAGTTATAATCAATAATAATAATAAATTATCAATTAAACTATCTGTTGGGCAATCAGTTGGGTTATTTTCCGATATCCAAAAGCCAGCATATTATCTTTAAAAAGATAATAATAACATTTATCTAAAAATTGTTCAATTCTTGACTGTATTTGACACTATCACAGTAAGCAACCATAATAATGGAGGTCACTGTATCAAACGCACCAATGTTGCTCATAATTACTTTATTAATGCTTTGAAGAACACAACTTTTACTAACCTAACCATACCAACCTACTACCTAACCTTTTTTTTTACATGGTATCGATGCATGGGGTGGTACCAACCTTTCGGTTATTTCACCACCATACACCATCGTTTATTGGGGAAATTAAACCAATTTATATACATATATACATCTTAATATAAACAGTGTGGGGGCCTCTAACCACCCTGAAAAAAGATTTGCTAGTTCAGCATACATCAAAAAAGAACTTAACTTATAGAAACAATATCTTCAGCTGATTTGTTTGCGGCAGCTTTTCTTCTCCTTGGGTTTCCTCTTCGTTCATTGTTGATTTCCCTTTCATAGGCCATAAGGTCCAAAGGAACAATGCCGGAAATGACACATACTGCGTCACTAGACACAGTGCAGTAGGCAGAGGCTACCCTCAGGCAGATTCTTCTCTGGATTTTCAGTAGTGCGGACCAGCCCATTTTGCTCATATCTTGAGTCCAGACTGGTGAGCCGCATATCAAAATTGAATGAATAACATTACTCAGTAGCTTTTTCTTACTCGATTTCGCAGCGCTTATGTTCAGCATGATTTTTTTGTTGAACAGAAATCGGTAGTCGATCGGCCTTTCCGAAATCCGCATTGTCTGTCATCCAGATGGCGCCGCAGGCGGTTGTCTAGATTTTCTCCAGGAGTTTTCCCAGGCAATCTAATAGGCCCAGTGGCCTGTAGGAGGATGGCTCTGTCAGGGGTTTGTCGCCTTTAAGTAGCAGCACTAGTCTAGATGTTTTCCATTGCCTGGGAAATATACCCTCTACCAGGCAATTATTATAAACTTCGACTAATATGCTAGGGTTTAGAGCAACAATTTCTTTAACGACTTCGTTTGGGATACCGTCTATCTGCTGGCCGGTTCTGGTTGGCCAGATCTGGACATCACCGATGCTATCTCTGTCTGTCTGGGCCGCAGGGTCGTCTTGGCCGGGTATAGCTGAACGCAGAGCGTCTAGTACTTCTGCTGCGGTGGAAACAGCGTCCAAGTCGAGGATCTCTATCTCAGTCTGGATGCCAAGTTGGGACACCTTCCCAACAGAATCCCCAAGCTTGGTACTAATAGCGGCGGCAATGGTCTTGGCTGCTGATACCGACTTAGATCTCTTACCTAGCTCCAGCAGCAATGATCCGTCTCGGGTCTCCCTCATTGTCACGCTCGACTTGTCAGATAGACCGCACGCGCGAACCGTTCGCACAGTGTCAGTGTAGGACTTCCCCTTGGCCGGTCTTACAAGGGTGGCTGGCGGCTCAGCTCTAAGGTTCGGCTTGTGTGAGGCAGGGGGCTTCGGGCGCGGGTCAGTGGTGGTTTTCTGCTTCATGTTTCCTCTCTTCACGACGTTGGTCCACGGAGCTACCGCGTCGGTGACCATGGCTGACTCCACCTCCGTGTGGCTTGGACGAGTGTTTGGCGGTTGGCAAACACTTGCGAACTGGCCGCCTCTTGCGGTTTGCGCGCCCCCTTCTTCTTCTTCCTAAGCTGCTCGGCCTCGAACACTTCATCGACGTCCCACAAGCTTGGGGTCAGGATTGTGTCTGTGCTAGCGTCGGTCATGACAGGCCTCTCTGGTTCGCTGTCTTCGGCCTTTTTTTGGGACGGGGACACCGAAGGGGAGACAAGCTTGTCCTTCTTAGTCAGGAGTCCATCCAGGACCTTTGACATTTCAGCGAAAAGAGTCGCCAGACGTCCTATATAGCAAATGTGATATATTGATATATATTTGATATTTAGTTTATATAATTTTTTGTACATTCGTTAGGTAATATACATGCAATATCATAAAGATAACTGAAAATCCAAGTATGGGTTTATATATTCATATGATGACTTCTCGATATCAAAATTCTGATGTCAAAAAAGTAATTTTCGCGCAATGTATATTAGATATATCGGTCTAGGACAAGTGGGCGCCGCCAACTGGGCGCCGCCAACTGGGCGCCGCCAACTGGGCACGGCCAACTCGGCTCGGGCAACTCGGCGCTGGGACAAGTAGGCGCGGGGACAAGTAGGCGCGAGTGTTGTGTTATGTGTAATGTGTATTATTTATTTTGCATGACAACTTTTACAACTATTTGTGCAAGCATACTGGCAAGTTACAATAATATGTTATCCGGTGAAAACTGACCGGATACGTCGTATTATAGGTTTTATTAAGATAAGATAAAATATTACCGAAGAGTATAAGATTAGTAAGGGCCAGTTGCACCATCTACGGTTAAACTTCGATTATGCTTAATCAGCTATGGTGAGGTGTGCATGCGGGGGGAATTCAATAAAATACTATTATATCTATAATAGGTAATAGTATAATATAATATGATATCTCTATAGCTAACGACGCGGTGCGAACAAATACGATAACGAAACAATAAAAATAATATGGGGATAATGATTGTGCCTATAGGAAGATCATATTTAGTTTCGAAGTAGTAGTTTTCAATCCATACAACATTCAACATGGAAAACATAACGTCACAGCGAAATCGTGAAAAGTTTCCGAAAAACGGATTTTTGTACATATTTGACAAACTGTCAGCAGACGAAAAAACTGAGTTTTGGCGATGCGAACAAAAACGGCATTGTAAAGCGCGCGTGCATGTAGTTAATCACGAAGTCGTAAAATGTATAAATACGCATAACCACGAACCATCTGCAGCTAAAGTGGCAGCAGACAAAATCGTTACAAAAATTAAGAAAAGGGCTGTAGAAACACAAGAATCGACGTGCCAAGTAATCAACGAATGTATCCAAAATACTGATGTCGCTTGTCAAGGAGCTCTTCCCAACCAACAAGCTTTAAAGAAGTTAATCAGGAGGAAACGCAATGAAATTAATCAAGCTCCGTCAAATCCTACAACTCTGGCTGATCTTGAAATTCCTGAATGTTATAAAATGTATGAGTCAGAACCTGGAACTTTTGAAAACTTTCTGCTTGCTGATAGTGGTTCGGGGGCTGAAAGAATCCTAATTTTTGGCCGTCAACGAAACCTAGAAATAGCAAGAACCTGCGATGATTTTTTTATGGATGGGACATTTAAAATTGCGCCAAATTTATTTAAACAAATTTATGTTATTCTAGCAAAAAAATTTGGAGGCGTTCACCCTATTTTCTACGCACTTTTGCCTAATAAATGTAGAGAAACTTACGACAAATTGTTTGGTATGATTAAAGTGTTACTGCCAAACTTCGATCCAAAGTCTATCACTTGTGACTATGAAATGGCTGCTTTCAAAAGTGTTTCTGAAATATTTCCTACTGCAGAAATTCGAGGTTGTTTTTTTCATTTGGCAAAAAATATGAAAAAAAAATTGGGTGAAGTAGGCCTAATAAATCGATATAACAATGAACCCAACTTTTCGTTGTATGCCAAAATGGTTATAGCTTTGGCGTTTATTCCAATTGAAGACATAGATAATGCTTTATTATCATTATCTGATAACCTACCAAATGATGTGCAACCAATTTTAGACTGGTTTGAGGACAACTACGTCGGAAGAATGAACAGGAGAGGTAATGGACGAAGACAGCCTTTGTTTCCTCACGAAATGTGGAATGTCTATAACAGAACGTTAAACCAACATGATAGAACCAATAACCATGCAGAAGCAGCTCATCGCCGCCTTCAGACGGAATTAGGTATGGATCATCCTACAATCTGGAAGCTTATAGACGGCTTACGAAAAGTGCAAGCCAATCGTGACTTCTACTATGAGCACCTTGTTGCTGGACACAACCCCCCAGTGAAATTGAAAAAGTACAGGGATGCCGATCAACGTATTTTAACAGTTGTTCGCGATTATAATAACAGAAGCACTGTCGAATATTTAAGAGGCATTGCGTATAACTACCAAATGAATTTATAAAATTGACGAAAATGTATGACGAAACAAAATATAAAAATAATGAAAATAATAATAATAATAATAATATTAATAGTAATAATGTGCAGTATTAATTATTTAGCGCCCAGCTGTCCTGGCGTCCACTTGACTCGCGCCCACTTGATCTCGCGCCCAATTAGCCACGGCCAGTCAGCCGCGCCCAGTTGTCCCATTCCGTAGATATATTCTACACGATATTTGCTAGAAACGTTATAATTAATATTTACTTGATATATAAAAATGTTTATCTTAAATTACATATTTACAGTGTATCTATTAAATATCAGAAATAACATATCAAGTATTTTATTTATTAAGAATATTCGTTGGATATCATATCAACGATACATACAGAATATATTGTCACTAATATTTATATGATATCTAAATATTTTTTGCTTGAATAACATATTTACAATGTATTTATTTAATATAAAAAATACTATATCAAAAATCTGATTTGTTCTCAATATTCGTTGGATATCTTGTTAATGATGCATATAAATATTCTTGTAGCCATATTTTTTAATGCTTTAGATTTTTTGTACCACTTGTAAGGATGAACCAAAATAACTTCTATTTTTCTAATGTAGGACCCCCTCCCCTCCCTTTCACTTTTAGTTATTTAGCAGATGTTTTTTATTGGAATTTATTGAATTATCTAAATCAAAATTTGAATGACTAGGTAGTTTTTAAGTTATATTATAACTTTGTGTAATATATCTATGGACATATTGGGTCAAGTAGGTATAATATTAATTATAATATTATATTATGATGAGGGCTTACATGATTTGAAAATGTAACTCATTACTATTGATCTATCAATTTAAATATTTTCGGAAATAAATAATAGTTTGGTCTTTGGGTGCTGTTATTACCACAATAAATTAAAGATGTAGGTTAAATTGTAATTACCTATAACTAGCTAATCTTTTTGCTATTGTCCATAACTGTTACATATACCATTAAAGAATGTGTACATTAAAATATTAAACATATATGACGCATATTATTATAGTATGTATTACTGCAGTGTTAGAATATTACTGTCTTATTTAACATTTTGTAACCTTATGTAAAAATACTCGTCAAAACCACCATTATAGTTATATTATATTATATGCATGTATTATAATCTAATACAGCAGCAGTAAGCTCTCGATTATATATTATACTGAATAGGGTGATAGTCACGAAAAGCGAATTCCGAGTATAATCATGAAATGACTGCAAATTGCAAAAAAATTGATTTACCTATATATTAGGTATGTATTATTATCATTGAGTATAGATAGTATACTGAATAATGGTATTATTAAAAAAATTAAGCTTAATGTTATTAAATAGTATTTAAAGAAAATTAGACAGATACAGTGTTCAGTCACTGAACACTGTAACTTCAGTATACGTATCTCTACACGACTACACGCGTTGTATTTTTATTTAAACAATCATATAATTTATACATAATATATATTATAACTACATTAACATTTATTTTTTTATAAATACATAATAATATAATTATGTAATAATTTAATTATTATTATATTATTATATTGTACATTAACATTATTTTTAGTACCATACAGTCTGTGGCGCACGAGGAATTTGTCGCACGTTTTAATCCCGCGCGGCCAACAGTTGAATCTTGAATTGCCCGGGAGATTAAGGTAGAGACAATACTCAAGGCAATTGTGAGGTAT